ACTTATAAATTACCCCTCACTTCATGGGCGGCCACCATATCTTTTCAGGGGCTACAGGGGAATGTCTAGCTCCCCCCCCCTATTACAGGAACATCCAATTTTCCATTTTCATCCGGGAAAAAAAAAGCCATCTTTTTCTCTCCCAACCCAATGCCCCTTTGGTTCATTTTGATCCAATAGCGTTCCCGTTAGGATAGGGAAACAGATTGATTAAAATTACTTTGAAGGGTAGGACTTCGGCGATTAGGGAGTATTTAGAACGGGGAAAAAATCCATAGATAAAATGAAATACTTATTGGGTTCTAAGCCATCCTTTCTGGCGATGAATCAACAATTTCGGAATTGCTTTTCCTTGCGTATTCTTGGAATAAAAACCAAGGCGTTTTACTATACTAGATGTACGGGAAGGATTCTGTTGGGAAAGTAAGAAGCCCCTTTGAAACATCTCTTTCATCTGCAAAAGAAATTCTCGATGTGAAAAACACAAGAAGGACACAAGGGGGCTGATGCTCTTGATGAATAGGAAAAAAGAGTGGATTTCCGCAGCCCACGGTACCCAAAATTAAATTGGCTATTCGGAAAAAAAGGCCTTTGTTCTTTGGGGGAAGATTTTCTTATTCGTTATTAGGTACTGCATGGTTCCACTCTGCCCAAGGAAGAAACTTTCCGGAATTCATTCTTCTTGAAGCATCATTTCCTCTTCATTCATAAATTGATTCCGCTTTTACCCCCTTCTTTCTAGGGGACAAAGAAATGGGACTAAGGAAGGCCTTCCTTTTGGACTTTCCGACCGGCTCCTATCCACCTCCAGGCTAGGTGGAATAAAGGGACCTAACCTAAATTTCCCTATTCACTGAACCGGGCAAAGGAGAAAACTGGGAGCTAAACTTGGACTTGGCTCTTGCTCCATCTCCAAACTGAGATTAGAGCTTACCTTTTGAAGGGGGCATGCCTGAGAGCAATAGCAAAAGGGAACAGATTGCCCCAACTCTCTTCCGAAGCGGATTCCGCGGCGTTATTAACCTTCTCCGGGAGACCAAGCTGACTCGGGGGAACTCCGTTCTAGGCCTTTCAGGGACTTTTTACAATAAACCTTATGCGCGTTTACTTTAACATTAGGAATGAACCAAAAGAGTTACCTTAGTGGATAGAGGAAATGGGAAAAGGCCAGGTCTTTCTTATAATAAGGAAGAGTATTTCCCTAGGTGACTACGAATATCCACCTACCTCTCACGAATAAGGTGGGTGGCCTGCCACCTACGCGCCTGCGTAATAGAATATAATCCTGCGGAAAACTACCTCATCCCAGGGAAAAGCACGGCCCGAGTTTCCTTTAAGGGTCTTGTTTTCTGAAAGCTTGGTCTTACTTAAGGTTGTTACCAGTCATATGTAACCCTTGTATGGCCGCTAAAGCGACTAAGTCTATGACACCAATTCCGATAGGTGAGGCAAGGGGCCCTGGGAGGGACCTCGCCATTATTCCGTTTCCCCAAGGTCGACTTCCGGACTACCTTTTTGGGGCAACCACCCCCGCGTCTATTTCGCCCTTTCCTCCAGCAATGAGAGAATTCTCATTCTTGGAGGCATAAAATTCTCCTTTTCAGTCCCTGCAAACGGATGAGGGGAATATTACCTCGCGGCTTCTCTCTGGCTTGCTTTCTCTAAAAAGAGAATTTTTTAGATTCCCGCAATGGGGTATATGAATTGATGCCAATTTGGGAACAGGAAAGGCCAAAGCCAAATAAGGAAGGGCGTAAGGCCCTTTTGAGGGAAAGGTTTGCGAAAGGCCACCCCATTTTCCAAGCGTTCGGCGAAAGGTCCGCCGTATCGAGTCAGCTTCCTGCCTTAGATTAAGAAAGTAAGAGATTTCACTTTCTCGAGTGGGGGGCGCTACTCTAGGGCTTAATTCGGGGAGAGGATCCAGAAGAGTTTACGGAGACGATGCTGGAACTTTTTTCCTCTTCTCTATGTAGGAGGAAGAAAAATGAAAGGCGGAATCGCGAAATTGAATAGGACCCACTCAATCCCCATACTTTCTTGGTTTGAGATGATGTTGGGGAGAAAAGAAAGGGCGAACTCTTGTTTGATCCTTTCGGGATATTATTTGAAGGGGAGGGGGGGCTCGGACCTGAGCTTCTTTGGAAATAGAGTTTCCCATTCCCGCCTCCCCCGGGCTGGCTCCCACTTCGCCCCTTTATAGTAAGGAGCCTCTTTTCCCCATTGGGAGAAGGCATAAGTTATTGGAGTGAGCGATCCGGCCTCTAAGCCCTATCAATATGGATTTGTTCTTAAAACTCCGACCTCGGTAGAAAATAACGAACAGCTTTAACTCTAATCCATTCATTTTTCCGTGAAATAACACTTGATTGTTCAGGAGTGCCATCATTTCCTTCTCTTATCAGGGTCGGAACAAAAAGCCCGCCCGGCGGCGTGAAGGTTTGATTTGAGGCAGGGAGAGGTGGTCTTTTTTTCTAGTTGGCCAAGCCGGGTCCCATTCCCCCGTTCTTCCATAGGCCAGGGATTAGTCATTTAGGGGATCAGTTGATGCGGCTGGGGATGAAAGGACCAGTTCTTCGGTGCTGCATTCCCAGGACCGATCACGAACAGTATAGGCACGTGCGGCGATGAAGGGTCTTGGCTTTTACTTATCGATTTCGGACTGGAGAGAACCGCGGCGCTTTACTTTACCTTAAGAATATATTCTAAAGGCGAAGATTTTTTTTCCTCGGAACTAAGCAAGGGGCAGTTTAAGCGTTCGAGAAGGTCCTAGTTTATTATTTGGCTCGGTGGAATGTCTAATTTGGAGCCCCTGGTCAAAAACTGATCCCTTTACCGGCAGAGGATGGTCTCATATTAAAGGCAAATGTGTTTTTGATTTCGCGGACCTAATCTGGTTTGCAGGTGCCAATGAGCCGAGAAATTCACCAAGGAAGAAGTCTCTCTTCTTTACAGGTGAAAGCGCGTTTCAGCCAAGGCTGAAGGCGAAGTCGGCGGTATTAAGCGCCCCTGAAAAATTCAAAACTCAAGGAAATGATAATTGACAACACTTAACTTGAATAGAAAGGGAAGATGTTCTTGCGCTCCAATCCCTTGGCTTGTTGGCTTCCAACCTTAGGAGGTAGGGGCTCTAGGGAGGACCCTTTTCCGGACAGCGGGACTTGCTATACGCTATTGTAGCGCTGCGGCTAGGAAGCCGGGCAAATTTACTTAAATAATACGAAAGTTCAAGGGGAAGGACTCCTAATACATTAATCTTAAGCGGGAAATCTTACGAAAACTGTCTCTTTACTGAACTGAGCGCGAGACCCTCTACCCCAGACTTAAAAAAAAAATTCGAACAAAGAACGTCCTTTCTTCTAACTAGGAGAGGTCAAAGGCCATACGGAGCTACCGGAAGCCGAAGCTTCTTGGCCTCCCCCTTTGACATGTTATCCAATTTCCCTTTCTCATAAGTTCCGCTTTTCGTTTCATACTTACGTAAAGAGGGCAATGTCCGGAACAATACTCTCGACAGATTAAACAAGAGGTTTTATTCCGCGGCCCCCCCTGCCCCAGGCTTCGCCGACTAAATTCTCTGGGATATCTATAATGTACACTTTATACAGGGCGGTCGTGGGCCCCGTGGCGTGAACCCTCCACGAACTCACATAGTGGAACCATCTCCTAAGCCCCCACCTAACCAATTGGTCGAGGACCAAGCAAACAAATAACACTAAAATGTTCTTAAAGAGACAATCCATTTTCTTGCTCCTGGCTCTTTTCTTTACATGCACTCATATTAGTACCTCTCACAACCGGAAAAAATATATAGTGCTAACAAGGACCAAAAGTTCAATGGCTCCTAAAATTACTCCTTAATGGATACTTCGTGTGAAGTAAGGTTGAAGCCATTGCAAATATCAGTGGTATATAGATGCCTAGCTGTAAGCTAGTTTCTCGAAACGATATTTTCCTTATAATATATTCACTTGACATGAGGAGGTGAACCATTGGAAGTTTAAAGTATTAGTAGTTCTTATTCAATGTTGAAGTAAGGGAAGACCATTGCAATAGCAGTAGTTGATGCCACGTAAGCTGTTCTGAAACATACCCTTAAAAGATTCACTTGAAGAGGAGGGAACAATGGAAGTTTAAAGGTATAGAATTTATTCACAAACCCACTTCTTGGATACTTCTTGGAAAACCATCCTTCTACAAATGAAAACACTGGCTGGCTATATATCTGAAAAATTTACGAACATAATAAAATTTCAAAACCATAAGCAAAACTATTGAGAGCTTCTTTGGTATAAATGAATTTTTTCAAATTATATGTATTTTATTCTCAAATTTTACATTCTTTGGACATTAATTTAAAATTCAAAATATTTTTAATTTTATAAAATTAATTGTACTTGCACCAAATATGAGATGGCAATGTTTGGACTGAGAATTTTGCAATCCAATGAATAATTTTATCAAAATTCACTTTTTGGCTGACTCACCAAATTGGAGAAAACAACTGTGGCTGAGAGGACTCAAATTCGAGAACTCCCACATAAGTGAAAAAACTAGCAGGAACACCACTTGGCAATTTATGGTATGTTTTAAAAGTTTTTTTAATTAAAACATAGTATTAAATTTATAGTAAATCACATCTTAATAAACTGAATATTTAAACATAACACTATTTTTTCAAAAATGATTTAAACAATATGGAAATATAACAATATTTGTGAGGATTAAAATATGGACAACCACATTAAAACTTTAATTTCACAAAGTAAAATAGGAAATCCAAGAGTTTGATATGAAGTAGAGTACCTGATATCCTCCTACCAAATGAATAAGAACAATCCTTACCTACCGAAATGAATAAGAAACACAAGCATTGCGAAGTCAATGAGCCAATCAAGGCCTCAAAAAAAATCCCAAACCATGAGTTAATAAATTCACAGGTGTGTTTCCTTCACTCCAAACTGCATATTCCAAAGCTCACGAGAGTAAAATCCAGCTTACAAATAGTCTCGCGTATAAAAGATCTCCACTAGGTGTAAGTGAAAATTTGCTCACACAACTTTTGATCCACTTATCTTCATTCGTCTTATTCTCATGCAGGCGGCTGGACGATTCAGTGTGTCCTTTCAGTAATTTAAAAGTTTATTCTCACTTTCATGTTTTAGCTAAGTGCCCATAAAAATTTTAATCTTGCTTCATTATTTTGTGAATTTTTAAATAAAATTCTCTCAACAGAGCCAACCTGAATTTTCTAGAAGAATGCCTATCCGGATTAATCAACAAAACCATTAAAGAGTACTCTGTTCCTAGACCCATCGAAGTTCCCTCAGGCATGGCATCACCACTAACAGCGCTCTTAGGGTGAGATGTGGGCTGGGGACTTCATTCCATCAAATTTCTTTTGAGAAGGGGTCCAATCTCCGCATTTTGATGGGTCGGCGCGGTCGATAGGACTTCGCTTCTACGAAAAACTTGGTCCCTCCCCAGCCGTTGCAAAACCACACTGAATTTCCAGGTGTTTTATCACCAAAAGCTGCATATCCAAAGCATCCACAGCAGAGGTAAAAGAAAGTGGTAATGAAAATTGCAACCATTGATCCTTTCTTCATTGTCTTATTCTCTGCAGGAGGTGACTTCAGTGTGTCCTTCATTTAATTAAAAGTTTATTTCTCACTTTCAGTCTCTTTAGCTAAGCCTCAAAAAATTTAATCTGCCATATTTGAATAATAAAATTCAACAGAAGCCAAACCTGAATTTCTAGAAGAATGAGTGAGTATGGATAGGCAAAAGCAATATCCCCAAGTGCTAAAAAGGCTAGCCATAGTTTATCAGCAACATTGGCAGTTGGCACTCCTGTAATGCTCCCCTTGATCCTTCCGTTTTCTACAATTTGTAAGGTATTCGATAAATACTCGATTACTGAACTATTAATTATTTTAATTTTTTTTAGTCTACCAAGATAAAATAAGAGAAAAATATCTGAGATAATTTGGCTATATCTTACATAGACGCTTATGTGGGTGGAGGGTGTTAAATGGATTTTTGATATTAGGTCTAGATTTAATTATACACAATACGGGATGAAAACAAATGATTCGTATATCCAACCCCAACTTTTATACACATTCGCGGTATGTAGACAAATGATTCTGTTATCCAATAACTCCCAATCTTAGTGTAGAATTTAAGGCTTTAGTTTATTGTGGTTATATTCTCTAAATTTCGTCGCCTATTTTAAGACTTATTTGATTCATCTTGAAATTAAAATGAGAACAGAAATAGATGCTTAAATTCAAAAAACCTTATTTCAAAGAAAAATAAGAGGCCAAATTGGAAAATTCATACCTAATACTTTTGCAAAGCCAAGTCCAAAACCTATAGAAGAGTAAGCAAAGGACATGATAGCTGCAACTACTGAGAGCCATTCTATGCTGTGAATATCTGGTATTTGTGAAACTATTATCTGAACAAGTCCAAATACAAGCATAAAGAAATTATCTCCATATGCACATGCTGTTAAGAATTAATCTCAAATAATTCCACAATAACCTAGATCATGCACACCACTAGATTCAACAAAATAGATTGAATAAGAAAAGGTTGCGTACCTTGTAACGATAACCAACACCCTAATTATCTGAATTAAGTTAATTAAGTAACTTTGGAGGGAAGTAACTTACGCTACTTCTATGCTGGTTTGAAGGTAGTGGTTGAAGTAGTAATAACATAAGCAACACAAGTCCCATACATGCTTAAGTATTGAAGCAAGCCACAAAACCACGTCTGCGTCTTACCTGAACTATCACTAAATCAAATGAGCTAGAAACAACACATCACCCTGTAATGATTAAACCAAATTAAAAAGAAAGAAACAAGAAAAACAGAAGAAAATGTTCAATATACTACCAAGGTTCACTCTGACAGCATCCATATAACAGTAGTTTCGCGTTCCGGTTACTGGGTCAGGAGATCTGTAACAATCTGATAAGAGGAATGCAGAAATATAGGTGACAATTGCAAAGCAAAGAAGGGCAATTGGCCCTGCAATCCATCCTAGCTGTGCTGTACTCCATGCCAATGACAGTACTCCAGACCCAATAACAGCAGTTATTATATGAGAAATATAGGTGACAATTGCAAAGCAAAGAAGGGCAATTGGCCCTGCAATCCATCCTAGCTGTGCTGTACTCCATGCCAATGACAGTACTCCAGACCCAATAACAGCAGTTATTATATGAGCTACGCAACTCCATAAGTTTCCTAATATGGGAAAAATAAAAGTTCGAACTTCAATCTGAGATGAATTAAAAAAATAAGAAAAGATTTTCTTTACCAGTTCTTGAAGGATGCCCATCATCATCACAAGAACTACTTGCTAGTTCCATAGAGTTTTGAACTGCCATGCTTCTTCAACGGACAGAAGGAAATGAAATATGCACCGAAGGCTATTGTTACCTGTATGGCCAAAATAGAAAGCTTTAACTCTGAACCATATCCAATAGAAATAATGAAATATGTGGAACATCTTTCTTACCAAATAATTTCCTGTTGGTACTTAGGAAATGTTTGAAGGCAGCAGAAGCAATATTAGTGATAGAACGTCCTGACTTTCTGCAGTAGGAGACAATCTTGGCTCGTCAATGCACACTTTAAGCATGTGGCTATCATTTGATAGAAGAGTCCAATATATACTATGCAGGAAAATGCCATTCTGATACCAACAACTTGTTAACATCATGGTAAGAAAATGAATAGCAACTTTTCTGTAGAACTACATTTTATTTTAAATTCAATTTTCATTGTCCCAAATGAGGTATCCCAGCTGTTAAACTCTTTCAATACAGTTGTTTTACGAGTTGGTTTTGATCGATGAAATTTGAGCGATAGAATTTGAATATTTGATTGAGAAAAAAATATAAACTCTTTCAATACAGTTGTTTTACGAGTTGGTTTTGATCGATGAAATTTGAGCGATAGAATTTGAATATTTGATTGAGAAAAAAATATATATTAAAATTTATAAAATTAATTTTTTATAAATGATGGAATTTAAATCACTTAGTTTTATTTCAATCATACCCTTTAAATTCAGTATTTTATTTTCTAAACAAATAATAAGATGTACATATTCTTCCAATTTAAACAACATTTATGAACTACTCTACTCAATCACGCGAGTTAGGTGAGATCAATCACATACATATAATAGATATAATCTTGCATATGTATGTTGGGGACGTTGCATGTGAGACTGGTTCAATCCATCTGGCCTAACTAACTAACACAGAGACGAAGCACTTAAGCAGCAGATTCACCCATGTCAAGCCCTACTTAGTACTTACGCATGGCAGAACTCAGAAGTATATATAAAAGCATCATTAGCATTCTTATTTAACTAAAAACTGCAAAATTGGCTTTTTTTTTATTCCTTTCCTTAATGAATTCTTAAGAACAAAATACAGAAAAAAAAAAAAAAAAAGAAGGGGGCTGCAAAATTTGGCTTTTTTTTTATCCTTCCTTTTAATGCAATAATTTCTTGAAGGATCAAACTACCAGCAACAAAAAAACAGAAAAGAAAGTAGGTTTGTCTTAAGCTTTAACACTGCGCACACACATTTACGCTTACATATATTATGAAAATCTTCACGATATATAATCAATTTGTGTTTGTTCATAATTTTGAATTGTTAACTTTCTGTTTATGTCACTGATATATTATTTCTTTCTTCGCAAACCTGAGATTTTGTCAGCTATTTTGGACACGACTCAAGTGTGATACTCGCAAAAATTTAGCACATACAATATGCACAAAGTTTGGCGGTCCTTTCTGGCGTTGCTCTCGGTTTTGGTGGTTGGTGCATTGTGATGGCTAGTCTGACTAGCTCTTCTTCTATCAGAAAGAGGCGTAATAATATTCAGGGAATCAATTTGTGTAAATTTAGCCCTACATAGCACAAAGTTTGGCGGGTTGTTTGGTTGGTGGATGTATGGCTACTGACTAGTCTTCTTCTATCAGAAAGAGAATAATATTCATGGAATCAATTTTGTCTATGCAAGAAAGAAACCCTACAAGCCAAGCATGGAGTATATATGAGATATTTTTATTTTCTATATCAGAACTAGTTAGTTATGCATACCTATAATAGGTTTTCGTTTATTTTTAATACGGTCAAAGAAAATTAACACCAAACCTTTTCAATTAAGTAGTAAATATGTGGTTTTTTTTTTTCCTTCTTTTCCTTAAACTTATTATTTAACTGAATTTTTATTCAAATAATAATAATAATAATTTATTTGCGCCAAGAGTGAATCCAGCTAGTTTTTGGGGCCCACCGCCCTCAAATTCGGAAAAAAAAAATCTTAAAAAAAAATTACATTTTGCAGGGTATGCCAACAGAACTGAATAAAAGTGGAAATTGGTCAAACTCAAAATCAGATTGTGGTAAATGGTTTCCAATTCCAAACCGGAATCAAAACTATATGTTTATAAATCGACTTCAATTCTTGATTTTTCAAATTAGAATTGATAGTTTAAATGTAAAAGCAGTCCAATTCCATTTCACTCTTCTTATAATATAAATTTGAAATTGACGGTTTTAAAAACGAAAATAGTTTTATAATTATAGTCATGCGTGCATTTTGCTTTCTAAAATATAAAAAATTACGTTTATTCCCTTGAAGCTTTATTTTGGTAGGAAGCATGATTTTGATAAAAAAAAAGTAGTCCTTGACAGTTAAAATTTCTCTATCATTGTCATTTCTGCAATTATAGAACACTAAAAATTAAAATTGCTTAGCATGATTTCAAATTGCGTCCTTTTATTTAATAGTAATAATAGTAATAAAATTGACTTAGGATGCATTTGTTAAAATTTCTCTATCATTGTCATTTCTGCAATTATAGAACACTAAAAATTAAAATTGCTTAGCATGATTTCAAATTGCGTCCTTTTATTTAATAGTAATAATAGTAATATGAACAATGTGCTATGACATAAGAAGAATATATGCAACTAAATGGATGATGACTCACATCACTTTGTTCGTCTTATACAATAATTTTCAAAATTCTTGAATAGATAGATGGCCACGAATAGATGTGGAGTTTATATAATGGAAAAATATATTTATATTTCTTCAATGGTAATAGAGCCGTATCGATTTTGAATTATCAGTCTGAGTCAAATTAAAAAATTAACCTCAATTAATATAGGAATAATTTTTTAAAAATATATGATTGATGTTGGTGTATCAAACCGAGTGTAGAAAAATTTTATCCCATAAATGATTCACGAATCTTTTTTTTTTTTTTTTTTATGAAACCCTAATTATTTCAAATTCAAAATAACTTAGATTAACAAAGTTAACAAATATGAAATTAAAAATAAGAAATATATAATTTGTTAATTTAAAATATATTATAAGGCTCAATTTGCACCATGAACTTAGACAAAACATATAATTTGTCCAAAAATTAACTTTTTATATAATTTATCCCTTGAACTCACACCAAAAATACAAAATGCTCAATTTTTATTTCAAAAATAAATTATTTGATATAAATCAAATATGATTGAAAAGTAATTAAATATTTAATTTAAATCAAATATATTATTTGATATAATCAAATATGATGAAAAGTAATTAAATATTTAATTAAATTCAAATATAAATAAAAATAATAATCAATACGAATTATAACAATATTTCTATCTATATTCAAAATATTTTCAATGATGAATACAAATCTTTTTTATATTTGATTAGTATTTTCAGTGCAGTAAAATCAGAAATCACTTTTGTTTACCTTACTCTCTCTTAAATACAAATACCGTGGAATCCTTTTTTCACTAACTCTAATATATATAATTATATTTTTAAAATAACCTTTTATATTCTTAATTTTAAATTTAATTGTAATACAGGTAACTTTTTAGTTACGATTAAAGACGTGAGTGAATAATTTTGCTCTCTTGTGCATAAAAAACTTTATAATTATTATTATATTTTTAAATAACCTTTTATTTTCTAATTTTAAATTTTTTAAAGTAATTTTTATTAGATAAAACTATAAAATAATTTTTTTTTCCTTAAAAATCTGGGCGTTTTATTCTTTTAGGTGGAAATTCAAGGTGCAAATTGTATAAAAAGTTAATTTTTTGGGCAAATAATATATTGTGCTCGAGTTCAGAGGACAAATTGAGCTTTATTTCTTTTTAATATGGATAATAGTTTTTTTGTTTTTTTGTTGAAGGGAATATGAATAATAACTATTAAAGATTTAACCCTTGACTAATCAAGGGCAGAGATCTATTCTCCCTTAACTAGACCTGAGTATGAAGTCCCTTTAAACATTTAGAAATGAGTATTTTGCTCCTCTTTGTATATCTGCTCGATGTGAATCTAGATTAATTGGGTCAACAGGCTTTGGAACACGGATGTTTAAAACCAAAAAAAGATTTAGAACAGTATTACAATCATAAATTAAGTTAAATTAAGTTTAGACTAATCTAATTCAGTTTATTTCAAGAAAACAATTAGTAGGAAAAAGAAGACATTAGCAGCTTGAATCTTTTTTTTTTTTTTTTCCTTCTTCAAACTGCTGTCAAGCTTTAGAACGATACAAAAAATAAAGAAAAAAAAGAAAGGATTAGTGTCTAACAGTACCTTATTACAGTAGTAGCAGCAGTAGCAGATTCCACCACCATAAAAGCTCTCTTCTGCAAGTAAACCACACGCTTTCTAGCTCCTCTCTCCTAAATTTCCATTGCATTATTGCATATTTATATTGTGATGAGAGTTCTAAAATTAGTGTTAGAAATTACCAAAAAAACCTCCTAGCAAGATAGGCATGTGAATCACATCAAACCAACAATTTATTATTCTACAATTGATATGTAAAAATTGAAGAATCTCAGTGAATCTGTTTATTTTTTTTAACCTTTTTGGTTTCATATCTTTTATGTATAATTTAAACCTTCCCATAAGGTATGTGCATGTGGGAAATCACATCAACCAACTAATTATTATTCTACCAACTCTCGCTCATGTAGAATAGTAAGAATCTCGTGTGATATCTGTTTTATTTTTTAATCCCCTTTTGGTTTTCATATCTCATGTTTAATGTATAATTCTTTCACCATTAATATTATTTTCTTTAATGATTTATAATTTATTGATTCACATATTAGAGAAAATAATTTAGATTTGATGATGATATTAAATTTTCTATTTAAACTATTTTGGTCTCCGCAAATAAATTATTTCTTATAACACATAAATTAAAATGAAAGAGTACGTTATATATCCTAAAGTTTATGATAGCTATAAACGCTAGTCAGTTCATCTTCCACATAAAAATTTATAATCATTCTACAATAAGTGATAGTATATTAAGTTTTACGATTTTCTCACCTCTCTTTCCCTATTTAATCATAAAATTATTATTGAATTTAACTAAGAGGAAATTATATCCCGGTGAGGGATATTACTCATATAGTAATCTGCA